TCTCTCTTTCCTCTCATTGGGAATTTGATTCGTTTTCTAGGGGTATTCTTAGTTAATATAATCTGTGCTCAGTGCATGAAGACTGCAAATACCTTGGGAAGAGGCATGGAAATAATGGTTATATCTCTAGTAACTAGCAGACATTCAATAAATGTTTAATTGAATGGATGAATGAATGAATAACTCACATTTCGCTCTATATTTTTGCTGTATGTTCACTCAGGTACACCATGGAATGCTTTTCCCATTCTTTTGATATCTTCCCACCTACATGAATTTATTCTCTTATTTGGATAGTAGGATAGTAGTCCTTCCTTCTTGCATTGTCAGAAATAAAAAGAAATATCATGATGATGAATAATAGCAGCTCTTTGCAGTTACTCTCAAACTTACAAATATTAAAGTGGTGGTAAATGGGAGTAGATGAAAAATGCTTGAGAGCTGGCACATCTAGGTGAAAGGCTGATTTTGAGCATCGCTCCAAAGGAAGACTCGAAGTCTTTCAGATGCATGGTACTTGGCACATAGAAGATTTCATTTATGCTTATTGAAGGAATGAATGTTTGAAGATGACAATAGAAAAATTGGCAGTAAAATGGAAAGATAGGAAAATTTCAGGACTCATCAGAACTATTTTTTTTATCTTAAAAACAATTTTAAAGTTTAAATAATTTTAAGTGATATTTTGTACAGTAGCTTTAAAACTATATTATATAGAGCCCCAAGATTCTAGGGATATATCCCAAGAGCAGCTGTAAAACTCGGAGAGGTGACCTTTATCTTTTGTGAAGCTCTAAAGAAGGCACTTCTGGAGAAGATCAAGCTGCTTTATGAACTTCAGCGGATAAATCTCCCTTTCTTAGGGGAGACAATTAGAGAAACCAAATGCCACAATTTTAATGATGAACACGGAGTTTACAAACATCGGAGAGGTCTAGACTTTTGTGGAGCCATGGTCAAAAGCAAATGATTCATGATCACAGCCAAGGATTTTGTTTTTCAAAATCTAGGCAAGATATTTTGTTTCCTAAGTCAACTGGGAAAAAGGGCGAGTCTCCCAAAGCTGGGAAAACTTATTTTCAAGAAATTGTACAATTTTTGGTTTATGTACCATAAAACTCAGGCAGCAACTGACAAGATTGCACTCTTATTTTTATAAAATTCCTAAATTCTTCTAGAAGGAGATAGCAGCCTCTTCCTAAGTGTCTGACTCTCAGGATCCATCATTTCCCTTGAGGAGACACCTTTCTGTAGATATCCTTATACCTCCTGTGTTGAAAGAAAACTTCCTTCTAAGAAACTTGGTGATTGTCCTTTACATAATGACTTTAATAGGAGGTTTTAAAAAATTCAACCAGTGAGAAATTGTGGAGTTGAACTTTCCTCTCCTTTTTACTGTTGTTTAAGAAGTCCAAATTAGAGATGGGATCTATAAGTGTCTTACAAGGTGTTTGGGCTATGGTTTGTGTATAAATGAACCAAAGTGAACTAAAAAAAAACTGAGCTAAAATTAATTGAAATAACTAGATATTTAGATGCTGTGATTAGTTGAATGTACAGACCTGTCTCCTCTGGGGGAACGTCTCCGTGTCCTTATTAACCTTTGAAGAGACATTGCCACCCTCAGTCTTCCAGTTTCACTATCTAACATTGGTTTGTGTTGCCTCAGATCTATGGGCAGTAAGTAGGCAGGGATCTGTTTGTCACCAGGATTGCTTAAGCAGAGAGGTATAGGTTATCACATTGATTATACCAAGAGGTTGGACTGAATAACTTCTAAGGACATAGAGTCCTGCACTTCACATCTCCTTCTAATTGTACAGCCCCCGATTTCAATTATTTCAAATCTATATCCTGGACTTAAAAAGAAAGATGTTCTCAGAACATGCGTGAAGCTGGAACCTCCAGCTTGATCTTTCCAAGACAAGGCTATGGGACTTTCTAAGAAGCACTTCCAGGAACATTTTTGGTGCTTTAAATTTCCAAACATGCCTTGACAGGTTGCAAATCTCCAAGCACAAAAAGGGGGCCCCAGTCAATAGTGGGGTCTTTCCCATAAACGTTTAATTTGACATGATGCTGGAAGTGGCGGTAATCCCACCAATCTGCCCTGAGGAGAAGAGAGAGTTCGTTAGCTGTGAAGAGATTCCCCTCCCGAAATATCCTTCACTATCAGAGTTTTCTTCATGCATCTCCAACGTCAAAATGAGACATCTGAGCTTCTCAAACTTGCTCCCACTGCTGGGTCACAGAATGATTCACTAGATAGAGGCTCCCAAAGCCTACAAACAAATGATTATCTGATTCAGGAACATAAATTCAGGCTCAAACAACTTCTGATAATGAAGAATCATAAAAATCTGTTGAAATGAAAGGTTTTTCCATCCTTCTGTTTTTTGATTTTCATTTTTAAAAAAGTGTGAAGGCAGAGAGTGTTTGTATTTTGTCCAAAAAAGAAACCTCATCTCCAAAACTTTAATTGGTTCTAAGGAAAAAAATGACCTCAGGAATCCTACTTCAGTGAATATTTCAAAGAATCATGGATCTGAAGTAATCTCCTAGGGGGCTTGGCTCAGATCATTGCATGTCCAGGTTTCAATGCTTTTGTATAAAAATAAATGAGAATAAAAATATGATGAGAAGCTTGAATCAACCCTGATTTGGGTAGTTTGTGATGTTATCTCTTCAAATTAAAGTCTGAAGATCTTAAAAGAGCAAAGGATTTAGAGGTACATCAACCTAGTTTCATATACCAGATGTATAAATTAGATGTATAAATACTGCTGTGTGTTGGACAATGAAGATCTAAAACAGGTATAGACCTGTTATTGAGAGATGTCAAATACACAATAAAAACCAAATGCTGCCTATTCTTCTGGAAATGATTAACACAATAGGAGAAAGTAGGAGAAATTGAATATTCAATGTGCCACCATTTTACATATAACATCTCATGTCTTCCCAGCTGCCATCATTGCCACCTGCATTTTCCAGCAGTCTAGGTTTTGCAATCCTCGACTGTTGAACAGAATCATCTGAACTTCCTTGCCCACTCTTCTTCTTTAACTTCATTTTTATCTATTCTGCTGCATATTTTCCTTTATTTATTTACAGTCCCACCCTTCCAGGACTTATTAGGCTTGCTAGATTCCTCTAGCTTTCCAGCAGAATCTTTGAATAAGTATGAATCTCTCAATTTAGCCTTCTATGAGCACAGCAGACACCTCCTAAGAATATTCCCATTCATGATTCTACAGGGCACATCTTCATTTTTAAATGCATGATCCTTCTTCTGTGAGATGGTTCCTTAACAGGGTGCCAGAGATTGAGCCAACTCATTTATTGTACAGAGAAGGGGTCACCAACGCCAAGAACAGTAACTGGTCTGAGATCATCAGGAAGTCAGTGATAGATGCTGGACTTAAACCTATGCCTCCTGACACCCAGTTTTGCACTCAAACACTAAATATCTACATACATATATCTGGGTAAATACAAGGTAGTCATTCATTGTTTAAAAGAGTGTTAGTCTCTGGAGGTAATGATCTACCAGAAATTTTCTTTAGTACATCTATGTGGAGATACAAATGTATATACATGTGCATATACAACTAAAGAATATTTATGGTAGATCATCAGACAATGAACGATTATCTTATAGCTCTTAGCGATTAGCGAATTTTCTTTTATCCTTAGAGAATATTTTTAAGAAAAGCAATTACACTTTGCATTATCATCCTTTTTTAACCTGGGCCTCCTGCCCTAAATGATGTGGATATATCTGGAGGTTTGTCAATTACCAGTGCCTTTAACTATTAATAATCTTCCAATAACTCTATGACATTGGTACTATTGTTGTTGCTATTTTACACACAGAGAGAAGCTGAGTTGCAGAGAGGTTTGGTAACTGCCCTAAACCCATATAACCTGTGGCACAGCTGGGTTGTAGTCCAAGATGTCCACTCTCACAGCCCACCGTTCCAAACTCAGAGCTATGCTTCCTGATACAGCCTTGGAGGATGCATGTGGACCTAAGGGGTGAGCTTAAGTGTTTGTCCCAGGTCTGCACATAATCAGTTCTGTACCCTCAGATGCCCTCTGTCCCTCTGTGAGTTTATATCCTCATTTCTTAAAGGGGAAATATAATACTTATTCTATTTGCCTCCCAGTGATAGATGGATCAGCCCTTTGTACAAATAATTTCAAAAAGAAATTATACAAATATAGGCTGTTTAAAAAAATTACAAACAAAAGAAAATGCTCAATATTAGTGAAAATCCCTTTAAGCTTTGTGTAAAACCATCCTAGTGAAATTTTAGTCTTATAGAGACCCTGTCTTTTGGAAGACAGTATTTAGACTATGTCACATCTTTCATTTAGTAGCTATTTATGGAATTCCTACGACATGTTTGATCCTGTGCTGATGAGTCCTGAGGATACGAGGATAAGCAAAATAAACATATTCTCTGCTGTCATGGAACTTAATTTAGCAGGAATATAGACATTAAACAAATAATTACAAGCAATCACTGAAAAAAATTACGTTTAAGTTGCCTGACATGAAGTAGATGTCTATATAGACATGGAATTACTGTTTGGCACAGGGTCAAAAATTTCATTCCTTTGTTTCACAGAGGTTTCAGAGTTCTAAGTGGGAGGATGACCTTGTTTTGAAATATGTGGAGTCCATGCTACTGCAGGCCCACACAGGCATGATGGCAGGCCTCTCACAGAAAATGAGAAGTTGAGTCCCAGGACCTCACTCATGTTTTTGTTTCTCTTCTGGCTGAGCTCTCCTGAGGCAAGCTCTCTGATGAGGAGTGGCTTAAGGTCCAATCGAACCATGTCAAGGTTAGGGTGCATAGCTCTGAAGACATCCTGTAAAAATCAGAGAGAACTGTTAGAGGCTTATAAGGGACATGTTTATCCAAACATCAGTCCCCTCTCTTACCTCATCCTCTGCTCATCTTGGGAACCAGCACAGGTTCTGTTATAGAGAATTTGCTTCTAACTCCAGGCTGATACTTCAAGTTGATCGAGCAAATTACAAAAGCTTGGATCCACCTACTGAATGCACTGCTTCACTAAGCAAGTCCAATGTAACCAGGTTATCCCCAAGCATTGGAAGAGGCTGCTTTCTATTTTACTGAGCATCAGAAGAGATAAATCTGTAAAGTACAGCATCAGGCTTGGTGTGGAAGTTGCTCACACTACTTGCAGCATGCGGCAACCATGGTTGGCTATGCAAACCAAGTCTTCCATCAAAGTCTGCCTCTTGGGTCTTAGGACCTGGGGAATGAGACACTTAGATTATGTTATTCCCCCGACCTCAAAAAAAAAAAAAAAAAAGAGGTTAAAGTTGATGATGGTTGCTTAAGACAAATGTGTAAGAGTGTGGGAGCACAGCCATTGAGTTCTGGCTTTTCTGAAGTAGCACACTCTGCGCTAAGTTTAGAGCTGAAAGAGTCTCATCACTCTTCTAAAAAAACCCCTAAGGCAGTCCCTGCAGGGGCTAGTGACAGCCAGGCACAGAATTAAATAAGTCAACTGTATTTTTCCATTTCAGGTCCCATGCTAAGTAGCAACTCCAAGTAGCTATGAGAGCAGTGGTAGCTCCTATATCCTGCTTATATTTAGAAGTAAGAAATAGTCTCTTCCTACTCAGGGATTTAAACAGTTTTTAGGGAGGGAGGATTCTTCAAGAGGAAGACACTGGACTTTCTTTTTTGGGAAGGAAGTGATTAAAAATGAAGAACTATAACCAAGGTTGTAATTTGAATACATGGAAACCATGCACATTACTCTGGAGTGTTGGTATTGCGTAGTATGGATTAAGAAAGTGGACCCTGAAGCTGCCTTCCTATATCTAAATTCTGGCTTTGCTACTTATGAGCTGTGTAATTGTGGATGTCTCTTGACCTGTTTGTGCTTCTCTTTTCTTTTCTCTAACATGGGAGTGATGAGAGTAGCTGCTCAATTCAAAAAGTTATTATAAAGAAGCGCATCGATTAGAATCTAATTGGCATATAGTAAGTTATCGATACATGTTAGCTATCTTTCTTCTATGTATACTTCTAGTGATAAGAATTTACTACCTACTTTTTCTTCAAGACAGCAACTCAGAGATTTGATTCCTACACTCCAATGCTTAATGTGGTTGAACTCTGAATTATTTTAGCAAGTATAATAAATTATTCATCTTCAAGTCATAAAGCAGAGTGACGTCAGAAGCACAGCGGCCTGAGAGATCTCCCTGCATCTCTCTTGAAATAACAAGCCGAACATCTATAACTCAACAAATAACACCTAACCGGCACACAAGCATGTCTGAGAGATCCTGAGTGTTAGAGCACCCAAAGGTGGGCAAATCAGTGTGAGAATGGGAGGCAGATTAGGAGTGTGAAACAAAGGAGCTGCATTATATTGTGGAGCTTCCTGCGGGGGCTGGGGGTGGGGTGGGGAATGGACATTTCAAGGCCAGGTTTGGCCCTGGAGCAGTGCTGCCTGAGTGATCAGCATATTCCATGCAGTGAAGCCCAGGGATCAGGACAGAGAGCAGGGCAGAGAATGAGAGTGGAGGGGCAATTGTCATTGCCAAACGAGAGGCGAGTCTCAGAGCCTGGCTGTATCTCCTTCCCAACCTAGAGTGCACTCTTCCTTCCTGGCCCCATATCCTCTCAGAGCTACCTTGGTTATAGTTTTTATTTTTAATCACTCCCTTCCCAAAATAGGAATTCCAGTGTCTTCCTCTTGGAGAATCACTCCCTTTCAAAAACTGTTCAGGGGAATTTGTGCAGCCAGTATGGAAACATAACGACAGCTGGTACCAGACACAGGAGTGATGATATCAGAGCCAGACAGCCGAAACCCGGGGGACGGCATTAAGGGAAGGCAAACAGCCACACATACTGCAGACCTCTCCCAATCAACCCTACCCTCACCCAGTCAGGCTGAGCCAGAAGAAAGCAGCAGAAATTTGCACATGACTGTTGAGATAGTCTTGGGGCTTCAGGACCTCTTCAGAGACTCAGACCTTCATTGCTCAGCACACCGGTTCACAGGGGTGGTACCCTGAGACCGAGGGACCTGATTGCAGAGGTACATAGGCACATACCAGAAATGATAGGGCATTTTTAGCCTCAAATCAGAGATCCAAGAGGCTTAGATGCCACCTACTGGAAGTCAAAAGAATCTCACCCCCCACCCCCCTGCTCCCCTGCACCGCCACTTATAAACTTCCTAAAGAGAGATCACTACATAATAAATTTTTCTAAAAGAAAAAAAAAGAAAAAAGCAGAGTACACTCCCATTAATGCCAAGGTAGAAAAATGGTCCATGAAACAGCATGAACAACCAAGGTGACAAGGCATCTCAGAAAGAAAAACATTTCCAGAAAATAAGCTCAAAGACTATAAATATGCATTTTATGACAGAGAATTCAGATTGCACTTCTGAAGAGACCCAATGAGATGCAAGAAAATTCTGACTGACAAGTCCAAGAAATTGGAAACAAAACAAACGAACAAAATGAATACTTTACCAAAGAGACTGAAACCATAGAAAATAACTAAATAGAAATTCTGGAGATGAAGATATTAAAAAAGATGAAGAATGAAATAACAAACTTAGAAGATAGATCTGACCAGATGGAGGAAAGAATTAGTGAGATCAAAGACAGAAATGACACAGATGGAAGAAGAGAGAGACTTGAGAATGAAAAATAAGCAGAGAACTCTACAAGAACTATCTGACCCCATCAGAAAAAGCAACATAAGGGTAATGGGTATACCAGAAGGAGAAGAGAGGAAGAAGGAAACAGAGAGCATACTCAGACAAATAGTGAATGAGAATTTCTCAAACTCATGGAAATGCCTGGATCTTTGAATCCAAAAGCAAACAGGACACACAATTATCTCAATGCAAAAAGCCTTCTCTAAGACATTTTATATTAAAATTGTCAAATTTAATGACGATGAAAGAATTCTCAAGGCAGCCAGGGAAAAGACAGTAACTTATAAAGGAAAACTCATTAGACTATCATTGGATTTCTCAGCACAAACCTTATAAGAAAGGAAGGAGTGGAACCAAATATTCAAACTATTGAAAGAGAAACTACCAACCAATAATAATATATCCACCCAAGCTCTCCTTTAGATATGAAGGAGAAATAAAATCCCTTCCAGACATAGAAAAGCTGAGGGAATTCTCCACCACAAGGCTGCATTACAGGAAATACTGAAGGGGGTCGTTCCACTACAAACAAAATGACAAATAAAAATACACAACTGTGAGTAAGATGACTCACAGACAGACAGAAGCAGGAAAATGCAAGCATTACTGAGAACAGGGTCTTAAAAGCTTAAATATCACATAATGGTTAAAGGCTAAACACACACACACACACACACACACTCTAAAAGGAGAAAAAGATAATAGCTACTGCAACTTCAAAATGAATGTTCAGCATATACGGCAATAATCTGAGACAATAAAAGCAAAAAAAGGAAGAGAGTAAAGATCCAAATCTGCAAAAAGGAAGGAGACAGGGTGAACATGGAAGGAAATGGACTACTGGATGTATATAACTATCATTTGCAAAACTTGATGGTAATCATATACGAAAAATCCAGACCTGAGACATATGACATCAAACAAGAAGGAACAGGGAGAAAATCCACAAAACACCACCTAATTAAAATAACAGACAAAAATGCAAAGACAAAGAAACAATGGAAACTTTGAGCTACCAGAAAACAGAAGATAAAATAGCTATAGGAAAACCTCATATTTCAATAATCACCCTTAATGTAAATAGACTGAACTCATCAAAAAAAAAAAAAAAAAAAAAAGGGCACAGAATAGACTGGATCCAAAAACAAAACCCAAACATATGCTGCTTTCAAGAGACACATCTCAGCTGCAAGACTTTGAGGTAAAAAGCGTAGAGAGAGACAATGATGGACACTTCATAATGATAAAAGGAACTCTTATACATCAAGAACACCTAATATTTATTAATATTTATGCTCCCAATCAGGAAGCACCAAAATATACAAAGCAACTACTAATAGTACAAAAGGGAGAAACTGACAAAAACACATTTAGAGTAAGGGATATAAATACCCCATTGTCAGCTATAGATAGATCATCCAAGCAGAAAATCAATAAGGAAAATATCATCCTAAAATGGCACACTAGAACAATTGGACATAATTGACATTTACAGAGCCCTTCATCCCAAAACAGCAGCTTATACATTATTCTCTAGTGCACATGGAACATTCACAAGGATAGATCATATGTTGAGACACAAAACTAGCCACATCATTTTTAAGTGTTTAAGAAGATTGAAGTCATACCAAGCATATTCTCTGACTATAATGCTTTGAAACTGGAGATCAACTGTAAAAAGAAAGCAGGAAGAACCCCAAATATGTGGAGATTAAACAACATGCTTTTGAAGAATGACTGGGTCAGAGAAGAAATCAAACCAGAGATCAAGAGATACATGGAAGCAAATGAGAATAAAAGTACAACATATAAAATCTTTGGGAAAACAGCAAAAGCAGTAATAACAGGAAAATTCCTATCCTTACAGGCCTATGTCGAGAAACAAGAATGAGCCCAAATAAACAACCTAACATTACATCTTAAAACACTAGAAAAAGAACAAATGAAGTCCAAAGTCAGCAGAAGGAAGAAAATAATCAAAATTAGAGCAGAATTAAATGCAATTGAGAAGGAAAAGAGGATAGAAAAAATTAATGCAACAAAGAGCTGGTTCTTTGAAAAGGTTAATAAAATTGACAAACCCCTGGCTAGATTCACTAAAGAAAAAAGAGAAAAGACGCAAATAAACAAAATCAGGGATGAAAGAG